GAAGCTGAGACCTGGAGGGAGGAAGAGGAAGAGCCAGCCATGTGAAAATCTGGGAATAAGTGTTCTGGGCAGAGGAAATAGCCCAAAGGCCCTAAGGCAGGAATGATCTTGGCATGTTTGGGAACAGCAGCAAGGCCAGTGTTGGCTACAGAAGAGTCGGGGGTGGGGGTAGCAGATGAGCTCTGAGAGGCAGCCAGGGGTCTCATCATGCAGAGAGGGCCTTGTGGGCCATGGCTAAACGCTTGGGTTTTCATTGCATGGGAGGCCATCCGGTGGGTGGGGTGGATGTTAGCAGGGGAATGACTTGGTTCCATTTAGGTTCTGAGATCAGCAGGGCTGTTGTGTGTGCTGTAGTCAATGAATGTGAAAGCGAGGTTGGTGGGCAGAATAGCAGTTCCCCAGAGGCATCCTGTTTTATTCCCTGGAACCTGTGAATATATTAGGCTACAAGGCAAGGGTGGCATTAAGGTAGCCGATGGGATTAAGGTTGTTAACAGCTGCCTTTAAACTAAGGAGATTGTGCTGGACAAGGGGGGCGGTGGGAATGCAATCACAAGGGTCCTTAAGTGAGAAAGGGGGAGACAGAGGAGTCAGAACTAGAGAGATCTGATGTGAGAAAGAGTCCAGTGGTCATTGCTGACCTTGGAGATGGGAGGAGGCTAGGAGCCAAGGAATGTGGGCAGCTCTGGAGGGTGAAGAAGGCAAGGATGTGGATTCTCCCTTAGAGCCTCTGGAATGGAATGGAATGCTGCGGGCATCTTGATTTTGGCCCAGTGAGACCCGTTTCAGACTTCTGTTTTGACCTCCTAAACTGTAAGATAATGAATGTGCGCTGTTTTCAAGTCATTAAGTTTGTAGTATTTGTTACAGCATTGGTTGGAAGCTAATACACAGGGAGAGTTATAAGAAGGTTACTGAAATTGTTTAGATGAGCCAGGTACTGGCTCAGCATACGCAGGGTCTGGCACAAATAACGTCCCTATTTTATAACAAAATCACAAGCATGTTCTTCTGTAACAGAACAAGCACACTCAAGCACACTGTATGACATTTTAGGTGACATGTTCAAGTTGCTGTCCGTCTCATGCGAAGCATTCACATACCCTACCCACCCCACTCAAGCAGGCGTTACTTCTGCCGGACCCTGTATTTGTTTACCTTACCTACAAGCTGTTGCTATCTGTGTTAGGCCTTCTTTCATGCGGGTCAGCAGGCCATTTGTTACCTCTACTGAGGCAGGATTTGGCCTTTCTCGAGTTCCTGTCCGTATACTCACTGGGAAGCACAACCAGTCCCCATACATGGGATTCCATGTCACCTGGCCAGTCAACAGTTGGATGGCAGTGCCAGGGCAGACAGCTTTGGAAAACTAAATGCCAGAGCACCTCAGTAAACCAGCACATGAGTGAGGCGTGGAAAGTGTACACTTGGACCGGAAAGGGTTGAAAGTTGTGAGGGGACTGTCCCAGTCGCAGATCTGAGCTGGCTTCTCATCTGAGCTTTCGGACAGGTACACAGGTGAAACTCAAGTGCCAGGCATAGAACATGCACAAGTGGAACTATGCGCTTCTCTCTCCTGACCTCCTGATAAATAACCTTTATTAGAACAAATACCAAATAAATCAGTCTCTGTTGGGAAGAGGATTCTTTCTTTTTGTGGCTTCTTCAGGGGTGATGGGTGATGCTTGGGTAGTCGTTTTGCCTCTCTTTGTGTTTGTCAAGCTCTCAATTCAAAGTGTCTTGGTTTAGAGACTTATTTTAATAGGGTAACTCCCCAGGCTCAAATATTCAACATCCATGAATATTTTTGAAGGATTGGTCATAACGAATGAATGTGGATGTCATCTTAGAATAATTTCTTCTTCCTCCTTTTTTTTTTTCTGTAGTCAGCGGCCCAAAACGGTTTCTTATATTTAGAAGCCCGGGTCTAAGGTTACATATCAAGACACATGCATAACGCTGTTTTGCTGAATGCAGCTGTCCTGATGTAGGCCAAAGATAATTTGCTGATACAGGAGCTGAGGCCAGCGATTTCATGTCTGCATCTGCTTCTGCCCATAACTTGTGGGCAAAGACAGGGCAACATTCACAAGCTGTAGCTAGCTGTAACATCCTTAGCAATGCACAGAGGAGTGGGACAGGGACGTTTGCCCCCTGAGGCTTCTGCTCTGGGAATCTGTGAGTGTTCCCTCCTGCAAAGTGACTGCAAGACACTGTTCGTGCCTCTGTCGTAGTACTTTCAGGTTTCCTTCTAACTGCGTATGTACCTTTCCCCCTGGGAGACAGCGAACCCTTCCCAAGGGTCTCTCTTTATCATTTTGGCGCCTCCAAAACCTAGCCCAGTTTCTATGGTTGCACAGGTGCTCTGTAAATAATGATCAAATGAGGAAATGGAGGAGGGTGGCAACAGAATGGGGAGGAAGCGGTGAGCTTAATGCAGACAGTAGTTCTGCTCAGCATCGATCTCTCCTTCTGGTAAAACCACTTTGGTTTTTCCTTTGGGAAACCACCTTTCCCATACCTCAGTCCATAAATCTGGGGGGACCTGACCTCACCTTGTGTTCCATTGGCTGAATTGTGCCCCAGGCCTCGCTGAAGGGGGCTCCACACACCTTGGGCCACTGCAGCAGTTTGCATTGGAAGGATGGCCACACCTGTTTGTTAATGGCTGGTGTCCATTCTGAGGGGTTGGGTCCATTTCCGAATCAATTGTGCATTATTTCATTATTTTGAATTGAACCTTTTTTTCCCCCCTGTAGCTAATGAGTGTTAGGGGAGGGGCACTTTATTTCTACAGGCATAGCTAAGCTGGTAGGGCGAAGCCTGAAGCTGCTGGCAGCCATTGGCTGCATGAAACCAAAATGAATGCAGGAAATTGAAGCTTAGGAATAGATAGGGAAAAGTTATTAATAATGGCTGAGCACCAAAATCCAGTCACGCCTGAAGCTCTCCCTGGAATTTTCAGTGATGTGAGCCAGGAAACTCCTTTTTTGCTCTAGCCTTTTTTTTTTTTTTTTGGTCCCTGAAAGGAGCTTGGTCAACCCTTTTTCCTTTTTCTGACTGTACTTTTGGGGTGGAGCGGGGGTGATCTCAGCCCTGCAGAGGCCTTGGGGAGGCCCATTTCCCCCATTTTGTCGATATGAAAGCTCCCTGCCAGGCCCTGGGGCCCGGCAAACATCAGGCCCCCTCTCGATCCCTGTGATCTCACTGAGTGACTTTAGTGACATTTACATTTTCAGTGCCTTCGAGAAGTAAGTTAGTGCTGCGTTGATACCTCTCTAGCCCCAACCCCTACCTTCAGCTGGTGCCCATGAGCCCACCACTTTGGTTTGGGGAGTCTCTAGAAGGTTGGGAACTGCAAGAAAACACAGTTTACATACTGTGGTAAACAGTTTACTTAAAATCATTTTTATTCTGCCTCTCAGTAACACTTTGCGTTGGATTTGGGTAAAAGATCAGGGAGCCAAACACAAACAAAAGCCAAGATGTCAGAAACAGAAATGAGGGCCCAATATACTGCAATGGCGCTAGGATCTCCACATGCCGAGAATTCATGTCCCTGATTCAACGTCCTCCTGGGACAACCGCTGGCTCATGATGGACAACTGGGTGAAATGACAGGTGGGATCTGATGTCCATCAGCGTTTATTTTTTGCAAGGGTCCAGGGTTTTAACAATGCCTGAGATTCGTAATAATCTAAGAACAATGCTCTGCGTTAGTATTGTACTGCGAACTTCCCTCCAGGGGCATTCGCCTCTATGACGGCAATTAGTTCTCATAACAACATTGAGGTAAGCAGGTCGCTGTTGCTCTCCCCATTTTCCAGGTAAAGCAATTTCACTGAGAGGCTGAGAAACTTGCCTATCATCGATTTGCATAGTTAGCGTTTTGACTCTCAACCTCATGTTCATTCCCTTAGAACAAGCTGCATTTTCTCTGGCTTAGGAAAGTTCGTTATCCATAGAGTTTCAAATATTAGTTCTTGAACTTATTTTGGCCATATATACATATCACCTGTTGTGTTAATCACTTGATTTTTTTTGAGTCCACTTACTTTTCTTAAGTCAGTTTATTTGAACAGAAATGATATATCAAATCCTAAGAAGAAACCATAAATGGAAGGTGATTAATAAAGAAATATAATGACAACAAAACAATGTGTTAAATTCTATCTAGACAGAAGACTTTGAACCTGAGTGCTGCACATTTTCTTTATTGAGATGGGAGAAGAGCCAACGTATCAGAAAGGGGTTAAGGAACCACGACCACTAAACAGAGACTTTCTCGTTGTTCTGATCAGGGCTGAGAAAGAATTGAAAAGGGACATGTTCTTCATGACTCAGTGTCATTTAATGTGTCTATAAATGACTTAAAAATTACCCCGTGTACCACCAGTGGTCTGCCTTGCATCCTGTGAAACGCTGGGTGAGTGTGTCTGGCAGGCGGAGCAATCATCAAACCAGTACGGTTGCACCTAAGGGGTTTACGTTTGACAGAAAAGAAATGCAATGGGTGGCATTTCTGGGTGGCATCCAGTAAAATCGAAGATCTTGCCTGAGACTTGCTAAAAAGAGAGCGAGGGAGTGTGAAAAAAGCACATTCTGTAAACACAGCCAGTTTATTCCCAAGACAGGGATGGGGAAGATGCCTGTGTACCTAGAACTGACCACTAAGTATGTTCTCAGAGTCTGTTGGAGTGGAAACTGAGGTCAAGGTCAAGCTGACCCATGGTGGATGCAAGCAAGAGAGGGGGCCCTTTAGGAAAAGTGGGAGCAAGACAGAAAGACCAGAAGGCCCCTGGGTTTGAGTCTGTGTTGAGGGAAGAGCTACTGAAGCTTGAAGTGAAGCTACAACATGTAAAAATAAAAGGAAAAAATACACAAATTCAGCTCTGTTAGACAACTTGAAACATGCTGCAAATGTTTGTACTTGACATTGCAAATGTCTTACCATCATCCATTGCTCTTCCTAGAGCCTCCCTCTCCCCCCAGATCTGGAACTCCCCCCCACCCCGCCCCCCTTAAAAGTAATGAGATTTCCTGAGGCTCCTCTCTGGAGAAGAGGAATGGACACAATGGCTTTTGCTAAACTGAAACAGTGAGACTTGATTTTTTTTCCTAAAAAAAAAAAAAAAAAAATCAATGACTCTGGCTGACCTGGGTGTGCTGCTTGGTTTTCCTACATGTTGGACTCTTTTTAAAGTTCGTTTGCCAGGGACCTGCCTCTGGAGAGTCCTGGAGGAAAAGATCTCACAGTCGAAAGTCAGGGATCCATTCCTCAGAAACTCCTTTGGGGTGTGTGGATGAGGTCCAACCTCCGTGCTCGGCCGACTGCTCAGGCTCTGTGTGGTGCAAACAGACAGAGTGAGGGAGAGAAAGACGGAGGGACCAGCCTCCTCGCCCCCCAGGCTCCCTTCTTCCTCGGCGATTACTCTGATTATACAAGTGCTGACATGGACGAGCGGAACTGCATCCTTTTGAGCCTACGCACTTTGGAGAAACAGATTGTGTATAGAAATGTATTTTATTCTACACGTGGCACATGCAAAAAATACTAAATGATACAGATGCAACAAAATGCCTTGTGAGCATTTCTGAATCTCATTCTCTTTGAGGGTTAGTAGCACTGTTAGCTTTGGTATGCCTCTTCCAGGAATTTTTTTTCTCTGCATTTAAATCCATAAATATGCATTTAGAAATTCATCCTGTGGGTGTATTTGCATAAATGCGACCGTGCCATATATTTGTGTATAGCTTATTCATTTATCTAATAAATGTTTGCATGCCAGGTGCTGCTCTAAATGCTGTAATAATATCACCACCCAACAGTTACATAGTGAGAACCATATGCTGGGCACTGTGCTTTACACAGTTTAGTCCTCAGCCCTATGAGATGGGTACTGTTTCGTTCCCACTTTATAAATGAGAGCACTGAGGCACAGGTTGGTTAAAAAGGCACACAGCTACTTAGAGGCAGAATTAGGATTTAAACCCTAAGCACCCTGAGGTGTTAGGTTCTATTACTATGGGCAAGGACAGAAATGAAAATGTTTCCGGAGTTTTCATTTCAGTAGGAGGAAACAGACCATAAAAATATATATGATTACATATAAATTACATAGGATTATGTGTTATATAACTATATAATATGTAATTATACTTTATAATTACATATACATTTTTATAATTATAAAAATTATATAAATATTAAATTAAAATTATCATACATATAAAATATATATGAAATGGTATATTAAATATATAAATAAGTTTATATATAAACTTTCCAAGGGGGTGATACTAGGAAGAAAAGTTGGATAAGGGGACTGAGGGAAGGAGAGTGGGCGGTGGGTGCTGTTGTAGCAAAGTTGGTCTGGGTTACCCTCTCTGCCAAGGTAACATATGAGCAAGCATCTGGAGCAGAGATAGGAAAAAGCAATGTGGATTTCAGGAGGAAGTAAATCCTAGGCAGAGGAACGAGAAAGTGCAAAGGCCCTGTGACAGGAGCATATTTGTGTTGCTCAATGAAGAGAGCGGGGCGAATTGTTGCTGAAGTGGAGGAGTGAGGGGAAGGTGCTGGGCAGGAGATCACATGGGGCCTTATCAAGTAACGGAGAGATTTCCACATTTGAATTACAGCGTGTAACCTATCCTACAAGTAAACCACTGCGTATTTAACCGTTTTCCCACTGAGGGACACTTAGGTTGTTTCAAGGCTTCCACTGTTTCAAACACAGCTGCAGTGAACATCGCTGCACATGCTTGATTCTCGCCCCAGCTGCACAGTGGAGCCCTCTGGAGAGCCCTAACACCTACCAATTTAACTGGCCCACGGTGGACTCTGGGCATTGGTGTTCTTTAAAGCTCCCCAGGCGAATCTAATGTGTAGCTAAAGGAAATGAATGACTATTTCACATGATTTTTGTGCTCCTGTTCCTAGGATGGTTAATAAGAAGTAGACTTGCTGGGTGGGAGAGCACGTGGATTTTAAAGTTTAATGGATACATCCAAATTGAGGTCCCAAAGTCTGTCCCAATTTACTCCTCCACCAACAGTATCCAGTTCTTCACACACTGGCCAACCTTGATATCATCCATCTTTTAAATTGTTTCAGTCTGGCAGACAAAAGAAATATACTATTTCATTGTTGCTTTAGTTTGTGTTTCCCTGGTTACCAGTGAGGTCGAGCATCTTTTCTGTGTTTATTCTGATTTCTTTGTCCATGTCCACCAGCTTATATTCTTTTCAAAGCAAAAATCTTTCCTCTGTTGGTGATGATTTAGGTGTGAATTGTCCGTACCTCAGTTTATCTAAATCAACAAAGAGAGGCCCTTCTGACCTTCTGGAAATAGTTAATATTCCCCATTTTTCAGCATGGAATCACAGAAATTCTCTGAAGACACATCTGTGCAAAATAATGTGCCAAAAGCCTCACTCCAGTCAATAACATAGGAAAAAAGATGAATTTGCATTTGTGTTTTTGCAAAAAGGCCAACTTCTTGTCCACCTTGATATATATGCTTACTTCCAATCCTAATGCAATTAAGAAAGGACTCATTCCAGTCTGTTTATAAGACAGAAGCTTAACCAGTGTTGAATGGGTTAACATCTGCTACTTCTGTGTCTGTCAGTGGGAGACAGTGCTGGGGCCCTTAACCTTGTTTAGAGCTTCTTCAGTGGGAACCTTGGCACTAGGAAGCTCTTGTTCCTAAGAATGACAAGCATTTTTAGACACAATGGGGGCATGCCTGGTTCTTTAGATACCTGCAAGACCAATAGAAATGTAAGTTCAGTGGAGTTGCATTGTATGGGCATTACATACGGCAAGTCAACTACTCGTGTTGCTCCACAAGAAAAAGAAGCAACTATTTAAAGGGAGCTGGACGTTCTGGCCCCACCTGGCTCAGCGCCCATGAGCAGGGATGGGTGTGTGGCCCCAGTCCCTTCACTGTGAGCTCGGAGTGTGGCTCCAGTGAGGCTCAAGTCAAGGAACGTCACTGCTTCCAACACCAGAGGAAACGTTAACGGAGAGATAAGATTCACTGTGTGAGACTCTAATAGGGCACCTTCCTACGGATGCTTCCAAGATCCAGTTTGATTTGCTCAAAGCTCATCTTGTGTGCTGACATTATAACCTAATCCCCGAGTAAGACAAAGCTCCACCAAATGTCATCGGTCATCTTTGCAGTAGACAACACTTGTCTCCTTCACACCCAGGCTTTGTCATGGTCAACTGAGTGTGCTGCTCTGGACATTTCACTCCATTGCACTGAGCCCCAGACATGTGGCCATGAGCCTGCCCACGAGGAGATAAGGAAGAGGAAACTCGGGAGGTGTGTAAACTTTCTGGGGAGTAGAGGAAGCTTCTACCAGGCATCTAAGGGATAGAGGAGCGTCCTGTTTTGTGGCAGATGTCCACACAGGCAGGAGTGTTCTTCATTAAACGCTAAGCTCTGGAACAATGGTCCTACAACTTTAGGATACTCAGAACTGTTTTGGGGGATGATGTGCATGTGCTAATGTATATTTCAGGGCCACCCAGGCTCTTGATCGGGGCCCAGGAATCTGCCCTTGCCCGAGCATCTCAGCTGCGTCTGTCACAAGCGGCCCCGAGGCTTTGAGAAGCACGACTGGAGCTACCTAACCTTGATTGAATGCTCGAGGCACCAGCAGAAAGTCAAACCTGAAGATGTGTTGACTGTGGCTGGGGGCTTGAATGATTAGAGTTGATGCGCAGATTTCTGCAGTATTCACGTGTTTCACCTCTGTGTGATTTGTTTCTCCGCTTTCCCTGGCAACCCAAGAGCAGGGAATTTTCTGACTTTGAGAGACTGCAAGTTTCTCTGACTCCATGTGGAAAACTCAGAACACGAAGGTCTGATTTCTAAGAATGACAAACAAACACTTGTAATGCACTGGCTGTCTTCTGTCAGCCTAGTGTTCTGTCAGAAACATTGGGTATTTTAGTTCAGTGATTCTCAGCTCTTATGGATCTGATGTCACAAAACTGTCTTTTCTTTGCTCCACAAACACCACGTGGCTTACAGAGATATCCTGTAAAATTAGGATGAGTGAGACCATTTTATGAGTTTGGGTAAAGACTATTCTGACTCAAGTCTATTCCAAGAGAAGAAATTACCTGGGCATTTGGTCATTTGCGGGGAGAAGAGATTGGGTACAGTTTTCTTGATAAGGATAAAAAAATAATTTTTAAAAGGCAGGGACTTTGAGACTGGTTACAGATTTGTTGATGTGGATAAAGAATTTTTTTTTAAAGGCAGGACTTCACAATTTCAAAAAAGACAATAGCTTATTTCAGACAGTTTTTAAAATGAAACTCAGAGAACTCATATGTTCAATCAAGACCTCTGTCTTATCTCCGGGCTTGGTCAGCTGTGAAGTCAGATATTCCCAGCCCCTCCGTGGATGTCCTTGCTGCATTTTCAAATTGTTACAAAAGAGCCCGCCTGCAGTCTAGGCAGTAACTTGACTCCCCTCTTTGGCGTGGGGTTAGACCTAACACACTAGGATGATAAGTTTGCTGATGTAATGGAAACTGACCACTCTGTTAACGGCTGGCAACAGTTGCTCTTCCTTTTGCATTTGGGAGGGAGGGAGTATGCCAGGGTTGTTTGGCAAAGGCTGTTGTTCTGCTGACCACCTGTATCTGAATTCATGGGTGGGAGCAGAGAGCTGGAAAATTCAGATTCTTGGGCCTCACTTCTTGCATAGCGAGTTGGAATCCATGGAAGTGGGGCTTAGATGTCAGCATCTCCAAAAACTCCCCAGGCAACTCTTAGGCAGCCCAAAGTTTGGGAACTTCTGCCTTGTAATTCCATATCGCCATTCAGTTTCTTCTGGGTCTGGCAAATTTTATTTCAAAGGATGACTGAGAAATTGGCCTTGCTATTGGTCTAAATGGAAGATAGAACTGATTCCATTCTCTCTCTGCCTCCACTCCTTCCCGTCCTACTCCCCAGCACCCCCCGCCCCCGCCCCGCACACACAGCAAAGCCTTTAAATTTGAGTTTCTCCATGGATTCTACTTCTTTGATAACATGGAGGGAAAGGAATTGATCCAAAAGGAAACTGACCATACAGATAGGGAAGTATTTCTATCCTCACTCTGTAGATGGGGAAACTGAGGCACAGAGAGTTTAATAATGTGACAGGGTGGTCTGTGCGGCAGAGCCAGGCTTTGAACCTGGTAGGACTGGGGCTCAAGTCCACATTGTCACCACTGTGAACTGCGTCTTGGAGAGGAGGGGTGGAGAGGGGACTTGCTCCAACATTTTACAGCTACTAACAAAACTTCCATCACAAGCACGCACACGTCAATGCTTTGTCTCCAGATAGAAATATTTATTTGAAGAACGGAGAAAGTCCCCATATATGAAGACCTCTGGGCCCTTGGTAAAACTTCGCGGATGGTGTCTAATGGGCAAAATGATCTTTGAAAGCCAAATTGTCCACCGGAGACTGCAAAGTAGGTCATCTCCACGCTGCTGACATGGGTTTTGTATGTTTTTGCTTTGTTTTTGCCCCTCACCATGTATTTAAACAATGCGTATTGGTCGTCACCATCTGAAAGTCAGGAGATTAGAAATGGAAACCCAGCTTTCCAATGTCTTTTGAAAAGCGGGCCCCATGGAGTCTGTCTTCTAAGCGGCAGCAATTAGCTGGAGCAGAGTGGTGGCTGCTCCCTGCGAACTGTGCTAATTCGCCGCAGTTCCCCCCTCTCCCTATCGTCGCACAGCCAGGCTGCTTCATTCATGTCTGTTACCTGCCTAACTCCGGGAATCTTTTGGTTCTGTTACCCTTGGCTCTGACTCATCCCATGCTGTTCTGTAGGTTGAAACCTCGCCATTCTACCTCCACATAAATCAACTCTGGAGGTAGCCACAAGTCAGTGCCCTCTACTGGCCTTTGTTCTTGAGTGTACTAGAAGGCACATGTTGAATTGGGGGCTGTGTGGTATTGTGGCTAAGAACAGATATCCCAGAACCAGATATCCCACTGCCTTTACCACTACTTAGCTGTGAGACATCACGCAAATCTTTGATTCCTTCACTTCTCTGAGCCTCAATTTCTTCACCTGTGAAGTGGGGATAACAATACCTACAGGGTGTATGTGAGGAGCCAGTGCGGAGTAACCCACGTAGGGGCTTGGAGCAGTACCTGGTGTCTGATAAGTTCCATGTCAGGGTCAGCTGCTATTATTATAACCCTCTTAGCTCAAACACTGATCCGGGCGGTGTGTATTTTCAGAAGTCCCTTGGAGTCAGGCCAGGCCTTGGCTTGTTCCCCTGGAACACCATCCTCTGAGTTTGGCTCAGGCGTGCAGGGCCTTGAACTCTATTTTGTGGTATCTTAAATTCTCAGGTCCTCTCCCAGTCATGATGATAACAGTAGTAGTAACAGGATTAATAAATGGTTTGCCTTTTTTTGTGCACCAGCTGAGGAACAGACACCGAGCTATTCACATCTAATTCACCTTCCCTATAGCTCTGTTAAGTGTGTCTCTCCCAGGTAACATGCAGTTTCTCCCTCTGCATATAATGGAGATATGCAGAGGGAGAAACTGAGGTGGAGGGACAGTAAGCAGATGGCTGACGGTCTCAGTGGGCAAGTGGCAGAGGGAGAATGCGCACCCAGGGAGCCTGGTGCCAAGCCTGCACTGCCCGCGTCCTGCAGCCCAGGCTCTCCCACACAGCACACGACGCCCGCCTCAAAGAACAAAGCCGGGTGTGTTCACATCTGTTCTCCGACTGTCTTCCTTCATGGGCCGGCATCATCAATCTGCCATCTTGCCGGCAAGAAGCCTTGAGATTCCTTTGATGTTTTAGTGCCCTTTATCCCCTCTTTGGCCCAAGCCCTCTAGTCTTTCCTCTGTGGCACTTCCTGTTTTGACACTTCCTCCTCCGTCCAGTTGCCCCTGATTGCTCTTGGAACTGGCTTGTCCCACAGGAAGTTGACCTACTGTGACATCTGCTATGCTTTTGGTCACCTAAGGTAGGCTAAAAGGTGTCCCCTTCCTCCCTCCCTCACCCGCTGGCCCCTTCCTAAAATCAGGCCAAACAGGCCAACCTTCTCAGCTTTGGGAAATGGTATGGGAATAACTGTGCTGCTCTGGCAGAAAAGCTGAAGGATTTCTCAGTCTTATCTGCCTTTCCAAGAGTTGTACAGGGAGACAGAGATGGGTCTGGGCCTCTCATTTCTGAGGCCGGCTCTTCATCACATGACCTTACCCTCTGTCAAACCTCTCATGGAAAGTGTCCTTGATTCTAGCAGGTGGAGCCCATCTCAGCTGGTCAGACAAATCAGAATAACTTTGTCCAAATCCAGAGAGAAGCATCAACAGCATCCATCTCCTTAGGAGGGGACAGCTCATTGGCGATACCAAAAATACATGGTGAGCCTTCTGCTCTTTAAAAAGTAGTGAGTGCAAAACTGTGTAGGAAATTGTTTAGCAGATCAGGTGGTAAGGCAGACCAGGTAATAATCCCAAATATCCCATTTACTCCCCCACAGTTCCCCCTTTCTTACAGTCAGGTGGAACCGCACTTTGTTTTAGCCAGTAAATTGTGAGCCTAAGTGACACTTGTCACTCCAGGGCCAGGCCAGTAAGATCCCATGTGTGATTCTCAGGTCTTCTTTCCCCACATCTTAGCCTGAGGAGGCCTCATATTCTAGATCAGAGGTTGGGAATCTAGGGTCCACAGGCCAACGGCCCATTTTTGTAAATGAAGTTTTCTTGAACACAGCCATACCCATTCATTCACATCTTGCAAATGGCTGCTTTTGTGCTACAGTGGCAGACTGAAGGAGTTGCAACTGAGATGATGATAGGGACCATACGACCCTCAGGCCTAAAATATTTATTGCTTAGCCCTTTATAGGAAACTTTTTTTGACCCCTTTTCTAAATAGAGCCGCTGCAATAGACTGGAGCTTTGGATAGCACGGGACCCTGAATGGCTGTGTGGAGGGGGGACCCTGCGCCGACTTCCATGGCCCATGTGATCGCAGTGGAGCAAAAAGGAAAGTGCTTTGGTTTGGGGTTGTCTGCTACCAGAGAATGACCCAACCTCTCTGAACAGATTCCAATAAGCATTCAAGAAAAGCCATTTTATATTGGGAGGGATTCAAAAAAGCCTACTTACTTCCTTATGAATTGAACTGCACAAGAAATAGCGATGATGAGAAGGCCAATAATGATGGAGGCGATGGCCACCCACTTGGCATTCCTCCCAAGCCGCCTGGATCCATCAATGTCTCCATTGTTGTAGCTGTTCAGAGACTGGGGGACACAAGGGAAGAGTGAGTGATGACAGACAATCCACAAGGAAAGACATGTGCTTCTCAGGCTGATTAGAGCAGGCAACACCTCCTCCAGGAAGCCTTCCCAGGACTCCCAGACTGTGTTAACCTCCCCTCCTGTTTTTCCTGATTACTTCCATTTTAGTATTTACCATAGCACATTAAAATGATTGAATTTACCTCTCCCATTGGAGTGTAAGTGTTATGTAGGTGGGGACCATGGTCTTGTTCAGCATAGTATACCAATGCCCAGAGCGATATTTGTCATGGACAAGATGCTTGATAAATATTTATATAATGAAAGGATAAACAGATATACTTGTCATCCATTAGAACAGGGGTTTGCAAACTATGACCCATGGGCCACATTCAGCCTACTGTTTTATACATAAAGTTTTATTGGCACAAAGCCACACCTTTTAGGCAAGGCCTAAAATATTCATTTGGTCCATGATGGAAAAAGATTTCCTATTCCTGCACTAGAAGGTTGATCCATGAGGTCAGGGACTTTGGCTGAACTGTTCACTTCTATGCCCAAGCCAAGCTGTCACTCACCTGGTACTTACTCATACAGCTTTCCCAGATGTTAAAATATTGAGATATTCTCTATTGCCTGGTAAACAGACCCCACCCCTCCCAATGTCCAGCCATCCTGGCCCCTCCTCTGAATTTCCCCCAGACCTCTCTGTGATCCAGCAACTTAGGGGTTACCACTGGGCCCAGCAGAGCATCCTTTCTGATTCTGAGCCCTAGCCAAACTTGTAAATATTTTAAATATTGCTCTCGTTGCTAGTACTTTGAACAGTGTCTGGTACATTGTAGGAAATATTGGCTGAACGAATATGTCTGTTTCCCTACGGAATGTGAGTTTGTTTAGGGCATCTCAGGATCCCCCTGGAATCGAGGCCAGTGCCAGGCAAAGGGGAGGCGCTCCGGGAACATGAGAATGCTTGCTGCTGAGCTGAAGGCCAGTTGCCACTCTTCTCTCTCAGAATAACTCCCACTGCTGAGGATTCCCCCAAAGCTGGGCTGCAGCCCAAAGACTGGGCATATGCATTCACGTGTTATGGGCGGAGGGACTCAACTCCATCAGTGCCCTGCCTTGTAGATTTCAGTGGGAACCTGTCGTCTTCATCCCAAAATCTTGACCAGCACTTGAGTAATAGTCACTCCTCTTCCTGGACTATTAAGTGGGGGTTCGGCGTATGCAGTCAATTACAAGCCAGAGAAACACCCAGTATACCACAGAGCTTTCTGCTTCCAGAACCTTCCATTAATTCTTGGAGCCAGGCCACCTTTGTCAGCAACAGGCCAGGGGACTCAGCAATGGGGAGGATTTGCTTTCAGCCCTCTTGTGGGTATGGGCGAGCCAGAACAAACAGTGAGGTGAGGGACTTACCAGCATTGTGAGTTCTCGTTTCCGAGTACTGAATTCTGGACGTCTCAACCCTGGGTGCGCATTACAAACACCTGGTCACTGATGTTGTTGTTGTTGTTGTTATTTTAATACAGATAGCTGGGCCCTATCCTGGAAAGATTCTGATTTAACTGGTATGGGGACCAGACATCAGGTTTGTGTTTTGCTTTTTTTTAAGTTGTGGTGAAATACACATAACATAAAATGTACCATTTTAACTCTTTTTGAATGTACAATTCAGTGGCATTAAGTACATTTGCATAGTTATGCAACCATCACCATCATCCATCACCTCAAACTAAAACTCCGGGCCCACTGAACTCTATTCCCCAGTCTGCCCTCCCCAGTCCCCGGTAATCACTCTACTTTATGTCTCTGTGAAATTGATGACTCTAGGTTCCTCAGAATCATGCAATATTTGTCTTTTGTGTCTGGCTTATTTCATTTAGCATAATGTCCTAAAGTTTCATCCATGCAGAATTTCCTTCCTTTTTAAGGCTGAATGATACTTCAGTGTGTGCACATACCACATAGTGTTTACCCAGTCATGCATCGATGGACACCTGGGTTGCCACAGTATGTGTGTATGTATGTATGTATGTATTTAAAGCTTCTCAGGATTGGTAAACTTGGGCAACAGTCCTTAACATCCTGCAAAGTTACTATGCTCACTGCCTTAAGATTTATCCCAAGGAAGTGTGTAACAGAGCATGGGCTCTTAACGCAGTGAGATCTGAGTTCGAACCCTGTGTCTTATTAGCTATGAGAATTAGAGCAAGTTATCAAGCTTTCCAAGCCTCAGCATCCTCATCTGTAAATTGGGGTCCATAGTAATAGCTCCTTCTTCACATCGGGGGAGCCAATGAATTAATGCATGCAGAACGGTTGGCCTTGGCCCAGCACACAGCGTATGCTCAATAAATGTCAGCTTTTATTGTGAATTGTCATGACTTGTCTTGTTCTCCTTAAAAAACTTGAGATCCTTGGGGTGCAAAAGAATCACCTGAGCTGCTTATCAGAATCATAGGTGCTTGACTCTGCTGTTTGTGGAGCAAAATCTTTGGGGGCCCAAGTTTGAGTCCCCCTTGTTTTAGAGGCTTCACAATCAAACTTGATGCATAGAACCTTAGAACCCCTGATTCTGAGCTCATTATCCATTTTAAGACTATGTAGATTCAGACCCTCCTAAACTGATCATTATTCTATTGTGCTACCTTGGAAAACCCAGTTTTGAGGTTAGTCATGGCAACACACTTATGTTGCTCTAAGCAGAGGAGAAATAGTGAAACTCCCTCCATCCCCAAACGTTGTCAACTCCTGGCTGTTTGGATGAAAAATGAGTTGCACATTCTCACCAGCAGTGACTATGAAAGTGGGAAGAACAACCAGTCTGTGCCATTCCCATATGCGTGCTCTGCCCATGAGCACGGGTGAGAGGTAGGGGTCGCTGGGCCACTTGAGCTGTGTTTGCTACAGGTCAGCTGCTGACCTGACCAAGGGGGATTTGGGTGCAGTGCAAGCCATGGGTGAATCCTGCCCCGCCTTCATCACCTGACACCAGTCTGGCATCTTGTATGTGACCCTCCTCTCTGCAAACTGCCGTCCCTTTGGGGCTCATAAGGGAGACATTGAGTCATTCCAGGAATGGGCTTGAAAAACAGATGAAAAACCTCCTTCAGTATCAACTGTGGACTGTTCTCTCTCCATGAGTCTTATGAATTAGTTTCCTTCTTTGGTTCTTGGAGAAGGGGCTGCTCATGGGTAGGGCTCCTCGTGGCATCTACAGTATGAAGGAGAGACCCAGAGTAACCCTGTGAATTTTCATCACTTGTGTATGAATGTTAATAGTAGCATTATTTCTAATAGCAAAGAAAAAAAAAGGAATCAGCCTAAATATCCATCAACAAATGAATGAAAAAGCAAAATTTGATCTATCTGTACAGTGGAATATTACTCAGCCTTAAAAGGGAAAGAAGTACTGATACATGCTACAACATGGATGCACCTTGAACACCTTATACTAAGTGAAAAAAGTGAAACATGAAAGATCACATAATATGTTATTCCACTTACATGAAATGTCGAGAATAGGTAAATTCATAGACACAGAAAGTAGGTTAGTGTTTGCTGGGAAGATGGGGCGGATGGGGAGTGACTGCTAATGAGTATGAGATTTCTTTTGGGTGATGGAAATTTATTGGAATTAAATAGCGGTGATGATAATACAATCTTGTGAATATACTAAAAATTACTAAGTTGTACACTTTTTTTTTTTGTTTTTGTTTTTGTTTTTGCAAGAAGCAAGACCCAGAGGCAGAGCTTTTGCACCTTGAGGGCCCTAGGGGACCACTGGTGGAGCCCAGAGAAGTCGGTGGGGTCTGACAGCAGGTGGCGGCCGGGCTTAGAAGCAGCCTGGGTTACCTCAGTGCCCACTGGAAGCAGCAGCCGGGCCCTGCAGGTGGTAGCAGTTAGCAGGTTAGACTTTTGGGTGAGCATGAGAGGAATACCTCCTAGAAACATTGAAAGGAATTTAATTTTGTGAGGAGTTGACTTAGCAAGGAGGGACGAGAGCCAACGAAGCCCAGGCCGTTGTTTATTGCTACAAGCCCCGTGTAAACTCACAGGTCATGAATGCCTGGGGAAGCTGGGACCCAGACAGGAGGAGACCCTGCTTCTTCAGTGACCACACCAGCCTTGAGTAATTGTTGCAGTTTGGAATGAGGGTCGAAGTAAAAGCAAACCAAGAATTTGTGCACAGTGTGGTAGCAGGTAGGCTTGAGACCAGGGCTGTTAAGAGCTCTTGTGTGACCTGCACTGGGTAATAGCCCAAGCTTTCTATTTTGCGGCCTATTCTCGGATTCCTTCCTGGGGCAATTATGTCCATTTTAAGTAGATGACACAGATGTCATAGCATATGTCCCTAGAACACACCAAGCTTATTCCACCCCAGGGTCTTTGCATGTCCTGGCTTGGACCACATCTTCCCATGGCTGGCTTGTTCTCATCCTTCATCTTTTGCCAATCATAGTTTGGTTTCATAGAGGTTTAAAAGTAGAACCTCTTCTCCACCACCTGCCCCCACTAGTCCTCTCTCATACTTCCCTGTTTATACAGTCTGTCTTCCCGTACTCATGCTTAAGTTTCCAGAGAGCTGGGGCCAGTCTCATTCAACAAACTGGCGAAGGCTCTGCTTGTCCTGTGCTGGCCGTGGAGGTTTGGGTAAGTGTACCCAATGTGGGGGACAATGAATCCCTTTGGCTATAGAGCTGAAGCCACATTCTCCAAAGAGCTCAACTGTTGGTTCCCTGTATCTCAATTCTTAATGGTTCAGAACTCTTGAGGGGAAGAAGAGTGGTTAATCTGCTGACCCAACATGTAGGCTGCTTCTAACTGAGAACCATTTAGCAAACTGATGCCCCACCTGTCAGCTATACAAAGCTGGCATTTATCTACAGGGTCACTACAGTGTCAGTGGTAGCCGCTATATATGGTATATTTTTGAGCATACAGTAAGGGCTCAAAAATTGTTGAATTAATGAATGAATGGATGTGGGAGAACCCTG